TGTGTGTGTGTGTGTGTGTGTGTATTTGTCCTGCAGCAGATGGTGGTGTGTGTGTTCTCTGCCCAGACGACAGCCCGCCTCCTTCTCCGTGCTCTTCAGTTCAGGAACTCTGCTGCTGGTGGACGAGGGTCGTCTTCATCGTGAAGACACGACAACAGGTAACTCAGGTGACCAACATGACCACTTCCTGTGAGTATGTTGATGTTTTCCTTCTTATTTGTTTATCGTGTTTCTCCAGCTGTTCAGATGTTCTGGTCCGTCCCGCTCGCTCAGGATCCAGGATCTCCTCGCCTGCTGCTCTGCCTCCTCCAGGGATTGAACCCCCCTCCGCAGGATGTCCTGTGGTGGGTGGACGACGTGCCGGTGACATCATCAAACGTAAAGGTGTCATGGGCAAGGTCAGAGGAGGGCGGGGCCTACAGCGCCATCTTAGTGTGGGAGGTGTCAGCAGCTGACTGGAGGTCCGGATCCTCATACTGGTGCGGGACGATCCAGAAGGGACAAGTCTACCGACAGAGACTCTGCTCAGAGGACTGACGGAGTCACAAACGCCACAGGTTCGATTCCCAGACTGAACAAACACAAACAAAAGGACTACTGCGTGCAGCAGCTGGACGCTTCAAATACCAAACCAATGATCAAATATGAAGCAAAAAGCAGAACAGTGAGGTCATGTTCATGTTTGGTGTGTCAATAAAAACTTCAAAGAATAAACCAGCACTTCAGAAAGTGATATGATCATTTCAAAAAGAATAATGGAAATAAAAAAGTTACATTTAAAATGTGTGAATTAAAGGAGCAGTATGTACCTCTGACCCCTAGTGTTTAAAATGTGTACTGCAGTCTAAATTCTAAACATTATAGAGAGCTGTCTCCCCCCCCCCCTCACTCAGGTCACCATGTGGTGGACTCTGAAGCTTCAGTGTTTATCCAGCTCTGCATGGGTCTGTAAACCTTTCTGTGTTCTAACCTCTCTCCATTTTTCAAAAGCATCTCCAATACTGATCCTAGTTTGAGCACGTTTCTGCTCGTGGAGCTTATTAGAAACATGCAGAGGCTTTTTAGGTCGGGTACTGTGGTGTCAAATCCCAATTCATTCACAAGAGCACATTCACACTCTGATGCACTCCAAACCTGCAGAGGGCGACCACATGCAAAATAGATAGATAGAGATTCTAAATAATATTTAGAAAGTGCTCCTACAGGGACCATATTCACCTGCGCACCCACTGGTAAAGCATGGCATGAAATGTTTGGAGGGAGCTCTTAAAAGCGCCTACCTTCTCTGGTCCAAACAAATCCAGAGCATTCAGGGGCAGAATCTAAAGTTAGAAGGAGGACATACTGGCTGCTGCATTGTTGTCAGAGAAGCCAGTTTGGTTAAAGTGAGAAAGAAGAAACAGCTGAGGCCAGGAGGGAATTCTTTCATCTATAGTTTACTGTACAGGTGATCAGGTAGTCAGACTGAACCCAGGTGAGTCCTGCAGGATTCAGGAGTCTTTAATCTGATATGAGGTCATTAACAGAAAGTTAAATAATACATGCAGAGATATACCTGACAACGTGTCCGTTTATATGTCATCCTTCAAAATAATAAAAAAGATACAAGTTCACTCGGCAAACACAAAACAAACACCATTTACAGTTTAGCCCCGCCCACCTCAAACACCCACAGCCACCCCAACCCCGCCCCCTACAGGTCAAGATAAATAGAAGCAAAATATTCATGTTGTCAAGTAAGAGTATAGATGTAAATCAAATATACAGAGTTCATGCTTTTGACCACGGAGATATCCAGAGTTTCATTTGGCGAGGAGGGAACGCTCGTGAACAGGTGAGCATGCAGCGTCCAGCTGAAACGTGTTTGAACAGGATTATTTAAAGAGGAACCAAACAGTCCCGGGCCAGTGGCAGACAGGATGCTGCTAAACACTGGATGAGTGTTTGAAGCTGTAATGAAACGTCAGATCTTCAGTCACAGTTTTAACCAGAAGCGGCGACTAGAGAGAGAGCGGGCGAGCACGGTCAGCGTGCAGGAGTTTGTGATTAAGACCAATAAATGACCCGGTATCCGGTGTCTTGGACGTCGTTTTCTGTTGCCATGGTAACAAACATGTTGACGTTGTTTAGAGACCAAACGAGCAGCAGTCAGGACTCAGAGGTGTTTTGGGTGTTTTGGTTCTTTTTTTTTAAAAGAGAAGAGCTCTTAGAGGACGATTGTTTTCACCTTCACTCAGGTGTTTTTTTTAAAGTACGGTGGCTGAAACGGACCAAAAAGAAGCACAGCTGGAGAAAAAGGACAAACGCAGAGCGCTCTTTAAGGAGAGGAGAGCGATGATGTCACTGATGTATGCTTTCACTCCTCCACAAGAAGTCCGAGTATCGACCGATCCAGCCATTAACCGGAGGCTGACTAGCTGCCATTACTGCGGTGGCGTCTCCCTATAAACAGCTGCAGGTTTGAAAATAACACGTACTCACACGATCCCAAATCAGAGTTTGTAATTTTGTGTATTTTTGTGTTTGTGAGAAATAGCCCGATGTTTAAGAGATCGGCAGAATGTTTAAAACGGGATCACACTGGTCATACTAAACCGCCCCACAATGCACTGCAGCTCTCAGACTGTCCAATCACAGAGCTCGCCAGCCAACCAACCAGTGTGTCAAAATAAAAGTGAAAAACAAATAATGTTAAAATAACTACGTAGCGATCGCGTTAGCTTGATGCTAGCTCATTGAACGGAGCTCGGACCGGAAGTACGTCATGTGACTGGTATTTTAGTATGTCGCTAACAGCATGCTAACAGTCGAGTTAGCATGCTAACGGTCGGGTTGTGTATTTTGAGTATGTAGCAGATGCTGAGATGATGGCAAATTGAAGATGGTGGCGGTCATAAACTGGCTATAGGAATTAGTCTTTAGATGTTTGATAAATAAGAGGTGAGAAACATCAACCTGTCATTGGTTTGAATTCCTCGGCCTGTTTTCTCAACCTGCAGCCCTGATTGGACCGACCCGGCCACCGTAGGATTCCGTTTGTCGCCCGTTGGCCCGGTGATCAGGTGGTGTTGGTGGTTCTGGAAGCCCCGGTGCAGAGAGAGGTAGAGCGTGTGGTTTCAGATCAAAGGTTCTTTTTGGGAACACGGGGGCGTGTCTCTGGTCGAGTGGAGAGATGTTCTTAAAGAGAATAATCCGTCTAAAACCAAACTATGTACAGTGCAAACAGGAAGTCATCATCATCACAGCTGATAGAGTGTAAACAACACAACGATTTACGAGAAGCTCACGGACACAACACGTCACTTACCTGAACGCTACGCACGGATCTACCTACTCAAAGCCCCGAGTCGGCAGTTAACAGTAGAAAGGATAAAAAAAAAATCTGCAGCACACACACACACACACACACACACACACACACACACACACACACACACACACACACACACACACACACCAAATAAAAGGGATGCAGAAGAAGAAGAAAAACCAGAGCGCTCTCCTCGTCCTTCACGCCACCGTGTCCATACAGTCGTAAAGTTTTCATAAAATACAATCAATCAGCTCCGCCCACGGCGTCCAATCAGAACTCACCACCGGCAGAGGAAGAAGTCTGTTTGTCCCACATCAGATCTCTGACGTCAGATCATCAGTGTCACCGAGAGTTCATCTTTAACATGTAGAGCTTCAGATTTTAGTCCTGTAGGGACCAGCAGAGTCAGACCAGCAGGGTCAGACCAGCAGAGTCAGACCAGCAGGGTCAGACCAGCAGAGTCAGACCAGCAGGGTCAGACCAGCAGGGTCAGACCAGCAGAGTCAGACCAGCAGAGTCAGACCAGCAGAGTCAGACCAGCAGAGTCAGACCAACAGGGTCAGACCAGCAGAGTCAGACCAGCAGGGTCAGACCAGCAGGGTCAGACCAGCAGGTCAGACCAGCAGAGTCAGACCAGCAGAGTCAGACCAGCAGGGTCAGACCAGCAGAGTCAGACCAGCAGAGTCAGACCAGCAGAGTCAGACCAGCAGGGTCAGACCAGCAGAGTCAGACCAGCAGAGTCAGACCAGCAGGTCAGACCAGCATTACACTTCAATATGATTCTGCTACGATATCGACACCTGTTTGAAACAAGGCAACAGAAACAGAAGTCCTAGACGCCAAATATTGTGTCATTTATTGTTTTCAAAGTTTGGCAACTTCCTGTACGGAAACATTGTGTAGGAGTTTACTTGAAAACAAGAAATGATCAAGCAGCATCCTCCAATGTTGAAAAATGAAGCCGATGCTGAAGTGTAAAATGCTGCAGTTCCTGGAGTGTCCACTAGAGGCTGGCTGCAGAGCACAGGAAGTCACATACACACCCATTCTAAAAAGCCTGTTTTTACAGCAGAGATGAACATGTTTACAGCCTGGTTCAAAAAACCAAATAGGTGTGATTAGCTCATGTCTGGATGGACACACACTGTACGGGGGGTGAATGTTTTGATGACTCATCAGTTTTGATTTGATGAAGGATAAGAGTTATTCACAATAAGGCGTGTAGCTGACCTGATTGACAGGTGGGCGCGGTGTAACGGTTTGTCAGGAGGTTTAAAACCCGCCTCAGCTCCAGCTCTCAGCCTGTCGTTAGGTTGACTGAAAGTTAGACTGAGACAGCATTTCCAGCATGGAGACCGCCATCGATGGGACTCCAGCGCCCCCTGCAGGGACAGACTGGGGACGCCATCGATGGGACTCCAGCGCCCCCTGCAGGGACAGACGGGGGACGCCATCGAGGGGACTCCAGCGCCCCCTGCACGAACAGACGGGGGACGCCATCGATGGGACTCCAGCGCCCCCTGCACGAACAGACGGGGGACGCCATCGATGGGACTCCAGCGCCCCCTGCAGGGACAGACGGGGGACGCCATCGAGGGGACTCCAGCGCCCCCTGCAGGAACAGACGGGGGACGCCATCGATGGGACTCCAGCGCCCCCTGCACGAACAGACGGGGGACGCCATCGATGGGACTCCAGCGCCCCCTGCACGAACAGACGGGGGACGTCACTAAGGCTTCAAACATTAATATTTACAGTGTATGGACATTACCAGATGTATTTGGGGGGAGTTCTAGTTTGTTGTTGTTTAATTTTTGTTGCCTTGGAATCAAACAGACATCGATACCGTTTGATTTTTTCTTGAAGCGAATCAAAGTTGAAACTTCTGGAGTCGCGACGACTCTAACCGTAATCATTACTTTATTGGCGGCATCGTTTAACCACTTGGTGATTTCTGATATTTATCGGTCCTACCAGCGGCTCAAACTGTTCAAGCTGCCGATACCTCGAACAAGCCCTCAGTGAGTATGCAGCTGTTAGCATGTTAGCAAACAGCACTAACAGAATTAGCAGAAGTTCAGGCTAAGTGTTACGAGTATTTTAGGTTTTTGTGTTTTTGGTCCCAATAAATGATCGATGATAGAAGAAGAATAAAGTCGTGATTTTTGTGGTTGTCCAGGTGATCACTGGCAGTGGGTGGTCTTACTGGGTGGACCCGTCCCCGGTGTGAAGCCGTTCATGAGGCTGTTGGGACTTGGAGGCGTGGTTAGAGTGGGTGTGGCCTCAACTCTAGAGGCGGGCTCTACCACGGAGCAGCTCTTCTGCGGCAGTCGGGGCTGGACCGGCATGGTTTTGGGGATTACAGATGCCTGTCGAAGCCCGTCTGCTCGCAGCGGTGGTCTGATGGGGGCAGGGCCTGTGGGCGTGATGTCAGAGGTGGGTGGTTTAGGGCTGCGTGGAGGGGACGGGCTTGGTGCACTCTGCTCGGCTGTTTTTGATTCTCCTTCCTGTGGGGTCTTCTGATCCAGGGACGCCGACTCTTTGTCTGAAGGGGTGGGGCTTGATGATTCAGGGGGCGGGTCCTGCTGCATGCTGCTCTGCCTGGAAGTCCCCGACCCTGGGATCTCGCAACTGTCCGTGCGACGCCGTGAGCTTTCATGCATTCGACTGGTGGCGACGACGGCCTTCATGGCGGCCTGTAGACACATTCAGTGTTAACTTACATGCAGTTTGTCAAACGTCTGAATATCTCTCCGTCTTCGCACTCCGTCCTTCCTCACCTTTAGTTTGCGTCGAGCGTTGAACTCCTGCAGCTTCCTCTGGGTGGTGTCCATGTGGGAGAAGCGGGCGGCCTTGCCGAGTACCCACGGGTGCTGCAGAGCCTCCCGCACACTGAGGCGCTTGTGAGGGTCCAGAACAATCAGCTTACTGACCTGCAGAGAGAGACACGGGGAAAGGTCCAAGTTCAAGACATCGTTACAGGAGCTAGTCCTCTCCAGGGAAGTCTGAAGGAACTCACTATTAAAGGCTTTCTATGTGATGTTTTGATCCAGCAGATGTCGCCCTTGAGCTCCAGCATGAAACCAAAACAACTGGCGCTGCATTGTTGTGTTAGCATGCTAATGCTAGTGATCTTTATTCTGCTGGTATCTTCACACTGCATGTAAATTTACCTGAAATGAGCGTGATCTAGAAACACAGTTAAGCAGTGAGTACAGTATGTTATTCTTCTTTTCTCTAGTCCCTCAATTAAACAACTTTTATACACGAGGGGAGGAGTCAGCCGGCCGTCCTGGCGATGTAAACAAAGTGAAGATAGGACTCTGAAAACTCTGAAAACATCGGGTGTTACACCCATTGTAGACAGTCATGACTCACAGTTATTTTCAGAGGAGATACTTGATTTCTACATTTAAGTGTGAAAAATCACATAGAAAGAGTTTAAGGAACCAGACAAGTCACAGCACAAGCTAAAGCTGTCAGCGAGGGGTCTAGAAGAAGGCTCGAGTCCTTACAGACGAGTCCAAGTCATTCACAACCGGTTGAAATGACGTCCTGAATAACAGGTCAAAGGTCACCCCAGCCAAGTCGAGGGTCGTTTCTTTAAGGACCAAGACTAAAGAAAACACAAATACGCTGTGAGTCTGCTGATGTGTGTACAGCTGCTGACGGACCGCAGCATGTGGATTATGATTGTGTGTGAAAACTTTCTCTACACCGAATGTGGAGTTTTCTTTTTAAATCTTCGTTGTAGATTTTTGTCGTTTTAAAGGTCGTGCATGAAAAGAAGCTGTAGAGGATTAATAAATACTTTAAGGGGGACGCACCAGATCCTTGGCGTTGAGCGAGACGTCGTCCCACCATGGAGACACAAACTCGTAGTCACAGTTGAGGATGCGGCTGTACATGTACTGATCGCCCCTCGGGTCGAAGAAGGGCTCGAAGCCACAGAGTCTGAAACACAGGAGGAGTCGTGATCGCAGGTGATAACAGACGTACGCAACGTTCATTACCTGAAAATGATTCAGGAAGGGTCGTCACGGGAACAAATTTAAACTCAGATGGAATTCATCACAGTGTCTAAATTGGACAAAAACATTGGCAACAATTGTTTTTGTCCATCAGCAACCTCCGATGCTGAAGTGTAACATCCTGCAGTTCCTGGAGTGTCCACTAGAGGCTGGCTGCAGAAGCACAGGAAGTCACATACACACCCATTCTAAAAAGCCTGTTTTTACAGCAGAGATGAACATGTTTACAGCCTGGTTCAAAAAAACAAATAGGTGTGATTAGCTCATGATTTGACCCCCCAGGGGGTCCTGACCCTTATTCTGGGGACCTCTGAACCCCTGATACTGGGTTCTTGTTTCTTATTCCTTGAAGACTGTCAGCAGCGTTTGGTAATGTTCTAAATGTTGCCGACGTGTTTGTGCACTTCAGAGAGCGAGCTGGAGTTTACCCGAGACGATGGATTCATTCCTCTCACCTGGTTTACAGGAGAGAAGAGTTTTTGAAAAGCTTCGGTACTTTGTGATCATAAAACAACAGATAAAAAATGTTGACAACCAAAGTGGTGTATAATGGAGGTGACGGTCATTGTCGGCGCCAATCACAAGCTAACGTTAGCATCATTGGCACGTCTGAGAAAACACAGGAAGCCATGATGTCATCAGCTGTGAGGAGACGAGAGACAATAAAACATAAAACTAAGACGAGAAAATCCAGTGACAGCAGTGAGTCAACACTGTGTGTGTGTGTGTGTGTGTGTGTGTGTGTGTGTGTGTGTGTGTGTGATGGACTCACAGGATGTAGAGGATGACTCCCACTGACCACATGTCCACTTCGGGGCCGTATGCGTTTCCTCTCAGTATCTCTGGAGCTGTGGAGAGGGGCGGAGCCTGTTAGTCTCCAGATGGCTGACAGAAGCTCAAACTGAGAGTTCTGTAAAATCCCACAGAGCAGCAGCTGCAGTGAACGCATCACTGCCCACTACCTGATGGGCAACACCGGTCAGCTAACACATCCACTAGACTCTACTACAACTACGGTCGTCATGGAGACCAGAATTTAAACTTTGTCTCCTGTCCGTACTCAGCGTTTATTTCATCTGTATTTCTGCACGTTTTCTGTGACGAGCAGGTCGACCCAAACGTGCAAAACACAACAAAGAAAGAAAACCTTAAAGGTCCAATCAGAGACGCCATTCCCCTGAGATGTGAAGTCTTTGTATTTCTGAGTCTGTAAAGGAGCTTCCAGTGACGCAGAAAACATCATTTTGCGTCACTGGAAGCTGTTGCGGTTAGCGGGGTGAAACTACAACGCTAGTTCATCATATTTTCGACCACTGAAGCTACAGACCAATCACAGATCAGTGGGTGGGAACTCACTCCCAGAATCCAAACTTAACGTCCGCCATCTTGCTTGGAAGCTATGTTAACTAGGGGTGTACACGTGTAACCGGTTAGTAAATCATAACCGTTTAGGAAAAATCTGTAAAAAAACAACATTTAATTATTTTAAAATGTTTTAGAGACACACATTAAAATCATCTCTGATCGAGTTCTGGCTTTCCATGTCGCCCTTTCACAGCGGCGGTAACCAGTTGAACGTAAGTCTGTGAGGCTCTCTCACCCCCCCACTCCGGAGGGGGGTGTTGAGTCACCGAGGGTCCGGACCATTGGCCTACGACCTCAGATCAGACGAGACAACCCGCTGAACTGAAGCATCTTACTAAGCGGAGTGTTAACCTTCCTGCTTCGCGTTCCGACCGTGGTCAGGGCGCACAGGGGAGACTTATTGATCTGCTTCAGGGGGGCTGACCCCCAGGGGGGCTGACCCCCAGGGGGGCTGACCCCCAGGGGGGCTGCTGCTGCTGCTGCCTGCAGTAAAACATGCAAACCATATGGTCTTCAGTTTGCCAACCCCTCAGTCTTGTAAAAAGTTTAAGTTACAAATTCCAGGCCGGTCTCATGACTCCTCTGACATAGAGTCTGTTTTCTGTTTTCTGACAGGAATTTACAAGATGCCAATTCTGGAAGAAATCTCTGAATCAGTTGAGGAAACGGCCTTATGTGTTGTAGTAAATAGAGGACCTTAGTGGGAGTGGCCTGCAGTGCTGTGCATTCTGGGATTTGGTGTCTTTCATGAGTCAAAAAGACTCTTTCTATCTTTTCTCGGTCAAAAGGCTCCAACTTCAAAATGTATTTCACATTTCTACATATATGACCCGATGTCAGTACAGAGTCATGTTTCATGGTGACGTATCACCTTAAGCTCTTTTTGGGTCATGTGATGTTTAAGAGAAGGAGGTCGTGTTTGTGATGGACTCACCGCAGTACCCCGGCGTGCCACAGACCGTCTTCATGGTCACCTGGTCATCGATGATTTTGGACAGACCGAAGTCGGCTGTGAGAGAGGAGAACATGTTCATACTTAGACTCTTTCTGTTGTTTCTATTTAAAGTGAGCGAGGGGGAGGAGCGAGGGGGAGGAGCGGTGGGAGGCGGCGGAGGCGGCGGTGGCGGCGAGGAGAGTCTCTGAACCAAAGGAAGGTGTTGGTGTTGAACGAGAGCTTCCTCCATCTGTGACTGTTAGCCTGAGGCCCAGCACGCCATCTGGACGCTTCCTCTGCTCAAATAAAAGAACCAACAAACAGAGCCAGATCCTCCGCTTCATATCCACACAGAGCGAGGAGGAGACGGCGCCGCTTTCAGGTGGCGTCCAAAAAGCCCAGCTGTGTGGACGATGTCAGAAAGAAGCGAGATGGATGATCTGCTACAGATACATCCCCCCTCTCGTCAGACTGGGTCATCACGGTTTGAAACCACCCGAGGCCCGGTACTGGTCCACGGCCCGGTACTGGTCCACGGCCCGGTACTGGTCCACGGCCCGGTACTGGTCCACAGCCCGGTGGTTGAGGACCCCTGCTCTTTCCAAATAGTGGATTTAAATGACTCTTAATTTGGTAATCTAACACACTTCCTGTTCTAATTAGATCGAGGAAGGCGGAGGTCAAACCCCGCCCACTTTCACATGATCCAATCACAGTTGTCGTTTCTTTCTTCACATCTGTGTCACGCTCACTCGATAGAAACACATTTTGAATAAAGCCTCTAAGTAAAGTTTTGTGTCGTGTTGTCGTTACCGATCTTCAGCGGAGCGTCCAGCGACAGGTCGGCGTACAGCAGGTTCTCGGGTTTCAGGTCGCGGTGCACCACGCCGTTATCGTGTAGATACTGAAACACACAAACACAAACACGTTATTCATGATGGTACGTTAAGAGCCTTCAGGTGAGGGGGGAGGGGGGGTCTGTAGAGGACTTGGCAGACCGGACTGACAGATGGCCTCTTCCTCCATCTCCCAGCATGCCCTGCTGCTCCCTGAACACTCACTTCCTGCTCCCTTGTTGTTTCCTCACTTTAATGTAGAAAACATAAAAACTACAAACAGCCGTCGGACTCATCGGAGAGAACGAGTGTTCACACCTGGACGTCCACCTGCAGGGTCACGAGCCACAGTTTGAGAAACATGTGGGGGGAAATAAACATGTGGATGTGTTCAGGGGCTGTAGGATGTTTCAGCACTGCAGATTAATGCCACACACACACACACACACACACACACACACACACAAACACACACAAACACACACCGGTGTATGTTTGCCTGTGTGGTGGATGTAGGTCAGTTGTGTGTGTGTGTGTGTGTGTGTGTGTGTGTGTGTGTGTGTGTGTGTGTGTGTGTGTGTGTGTGTGTGTGTGTGTGTGTGTGTGTGTGTGTGTGTGTGTGTGTGTGTGTGTGTGTGTGTGTGTGTGTGTGTGTGTGTGTGTGTGTGTGTGTGTGTGTGTGTGTGTGTGTGTGTGTGTGTGTGTGTGTGTGTGTGTGTGTGTGTGTGTGTATTAATCCTCTCTGGTTTTAATCCGTTCAGCAGCAGGATGGAAGCTGTTGTTGTATAAGACGCCTGCAGCTGCTACATGTTGCCATCATGTGCAACAATTCTGTTGCCAGAAACACCTGCAAGCAGCTGACTGCACACCACCAACTGCAACCAACTGCAGCAACCAGCGCTACTGTAGGCAACCGACTGCTGCAACCAGAGCTACTGTAGGCAACCGACTGCTGCAACCAGAGCTACTGTAGGCAACCGACTGATGCAACCAGCGCTACTGTAGGCAACCGACTGATGCAACCAGAGCTACTGTAGGCAACCGACTGCTGCAACCAGCTCTACTGTAGGCAACCGACTGATGCAACCAGCACTACTGTAGGCAACCGACTGATGCAACCAGAGCTACTGTAGGCAACCGACTGATGCAACCAGCGCTACTGTAGGCAACCGACTGATGCAACCAGCGCTACTGTAGGCAACCGACTGATGCAACCAGAGCTACTGTAGGCAACCGACTGCTGCAACCAGAACTACTGTAGGCAACCGACTGATGCAACCAGCGCTACTGTAGGCAACCGACTGCAGCAACCAGCACTACTGTAGGCAACCGACTGCAGCAACCAGAACTACTGTAGGCAACCGACTGATGCAACCACAGCTACTGTAGGCAACCGACTGATGCAACCAGCGCTACTGTAGGCAACCGACTGCTGCAACCAGCGCTACTGTAGGCAACCGACTGCTGCAACCAGAGCTACTGTAGGCAACCGACTGATGCAACCAGCACTACTGTAGGCAACCGACTGATGCAACCACAACTACTGTAGGCAACCGACTGATGCAACCAGAACTACTGTAGGCAACCGACTGATGCAACCAGCGCTACTGTAGGCAACCGACTGATGCAACCAGCACTACTGTAGGCAACCGACTGCTGCAACCACAGCTACTGTAGGCAACCGACTGATGCAACCAGCGCTACTGTAGGCAACCGACTGCTGCAACCAGAGCTACTGTAGGCAACCGACTGATGCAACCAGAGCTACTGTAGGCAACCGACTGATGCAACCAGCACTACTGTAGGCAACCGACTGCTGCAACCAGCGCTACTGTAGGCAACCGACTGATGCAACCAGCACTACTGTAGGCAACCGACTGCTGCAACCAGAGCTACTGTAGGCAACCGACTGATGCAACCAGCACTACTGTAGGCAACCGACTGCTGCAACCAGAGCTACTGTAGGCAACCGACTGATGCAACCAGCGCTACTGTAGGCAACCGACTGATGCAACCAGCGC